CGATTTCAGCGGGTGTATATACCTCCTACTGGAAAAGGAAGTAGTGGGAGTATAGGTAAGAAATGGTTGAAATGGCGGAAATAGAAATTTTCGAGCGTTTCGAGTGACTATATACCCCCCCCCCCCCCCGCTCGACGGCATTTTTGGAGGAAAAAGTGGGCGGGGTTTTGATGGAAGATGGAGATGGTGGAGGTAGGGAAAAGGGGGTCGTATCAAATCCACCTTGGGGGAGGGGGGTCGTAAAAATTTTCGAAAAGTAACAACGATAGGACCGACCCTGCCCCCAACCCACTTAGCACCGGGATTTCTATCGAGGTGGTGGGGTGGGCTAGGGTGTGGTAGCAGCGCAGCGCATCTTTCGCTGCAAGGACTCCAGGTCCACCCATGATCAGCGATGGACCTGAGGTTCCTGCCAGCGAAAACGTTTTTCGCGCTGCGGAACGCGAAAAAGTCGATTTCTGTCCTTAATGAACCCACACCCCCAACTTCCCTTTTTGGACGTGCCGTCGCTTGTGGTGTCAGTGTTGGCCCGCGTTGCCACACCTCACCCCTGAAGCTCAAGCCGCAAACGCTAACTGGAATCCAGTCGCGTCCGCAGAATCGCAACTGCCCTTCACCGTTGACCGCGTAGGTCAGGTCCCGTTTGGTTCACTTCATTGGTGGGACTGGCGCGCGATTGCAAGCGAGGCCGACTGCCACGTTGCAAAAACCCGTTGGCCTTCGATGCTGGCAGCCTGTCGGCAGTTGTTGTGAGGTTGCAGGTTGTGATAAGAATGTTTCATTTTTTTTCTGTCACTCGCCCGCTTTCCATCCTGTCTGGTTCAAATTAGCATAGGAATTCGAAAAACTGCCTAGTTTTTTTTTAGAAAAAGAAGAAAATACGATACTTTTCTGAAAGTTGTGCAGTTGTTATACTTCTTGTTTTTGTGTTATATTGATAATAATATTAATTGATTGACGAAAGAAGGCATTACAACTGGAAACCGCTTGGAAAACGTTCCACGTGTACACAAGTGACGCGTGCAGTGCTGAAGAACAATAATTGATCGACGGTGCTGTTTAGAATAGTACTGCACGCGCTATTTCGCTAGTAAAGCCACATCCGCAATATTCCGTCGAGTGGTGAAGGGTGCAACTTAATATTGCACCAGCACCTCGTTACGCCTCTGTTTGGCTAACGCTACGCCACCGTGTCTCAGCTCACGTTTTACAACGATGAAGCGTCCGAAAAAGCCGAAGCCGTTGCGACGACGTCGCCTAAAGGTTCTGTCAAGGGAAGTCGCAAGCAGTAGTACTAGCAGCAGTCTTACGTTACAGTCAACTCAGTATTATTCCCAAGCCGTCGAACCTATGTAATGAATTTTGTTGGGATGCCTTTTTATTTGTGTTTGCATTGTATGCATGTCGATTTTTATATATTTCTAGCCTCGGCCGGCGTTCGGTTTTAGCGGCGGCGAAGAATTTCGGGGCACCGCCAGTTCGTTCCGCTGCAGATGCAAGTTTATTGTATAACGCAAAATCTGATGAAGGTACTGTAGCATATTGCAAATTGAATTCAGATTGACCTTTTAATTCATAATACATGAGACTTTAATTTAGGTAATACGTCAATGTATCCACAAGGTGATCCATCATTGAATCGATCGTTCGATTTCAATCGTCCAGCTGTGTATGGCGATGATTTTGTGGATGCCGCGAGACGGTACGTAGTTTGATAAAGATTATTGGAATGAACTTTCAATGTTCAGCCTGAAAAAGCGTCACGGACCTTCATTGGATTCCAAAATTTTGAAAAATATTCGACTTTGAAGCTTAGACAGCATTTGTTAACCTAAATTTGTGACAAAGTCGTGCAGTGGATGCGAAAAGATGCCTATTTTGTAACCTAAGGCCGTACCAACGTCATGCAGTGGATGTTAAAAAGTTCATGTCTAATTTGCAGAACTTATAGCGTTTGCAAGAGAAAATTGTGAGAAGAAGGATGAGAATTAATGAATAATGAAGGAAAAAGGTATGATAAGCGAATGTGATTTTTACATTTTATCAAGTGTAATTACAAATGACTTTTACATTTTTCGCTGCTTAATGGATAAGTTTGTCGGTTAGGATGTTGTTTTTGATTACACCATTCCAAACCCTCCAATTCGAATGATTATGCATTTTGCTGTAATCAAACTAAACTAAACAATGCTGTTAAATGGCTTGGGCCAAGGGTGCCAGAAGGAATTTTGGTGCTAACTTAGTTGGGGGGATCACGCGGCGGCGCGGCGCTCTGCTCACCTGGCGCTCTCTCGAGCGAGACAGTGTAAACTCGAACATTCCAGCTTTTCACGCATGTCAAGTGACTGCCCTCACCCCCCCCTAGACTGCCTACACTCCCCCTGGCTCACGGATTTCCGAAGTACGCATGCCAGGCGAGCAGACTGCCGCGCCGCCGCGTGGTCCCCCCAACTAAGTTAGCACCAAAATTCCTTCTGGCACCCTTGGCCCAAGCCATTTACCAGCTTGTTTAGTTTAGTTTGATTACAGCAAAA